GTGCCCTGGCGGGTCGTGTTCTGCCCGGGCGTCCTGCGGCGCGGGCGCGGCCCCAACCGCCACAGACCGTGTTCTGTGGCTGCTGGATGCATTAGTCCTTCTCTGTGTGCGGTCGCTGCCTCTCTCCGTCCGTGCCAGCCTCAGGAAGTTCAGTCATAAATTAGCAGGAATATTCATCAGTGTTGCTCACAAGGCTGTTGGAACAGAGCCGCCCAGGAGCAGATAAGAGGGTTCAACAGGTTGGACCTTTGGGAGCTTGAATATGTAAATCATACATGGAGAAGGTCCACAGCTGTTGGAACGGTCTGTTCTGTGGAACATGTTGAAACCTGGAGCTGAACCAAAGAGAAAACTGTTCACGCCCGAGTCACAGTCTCAGTTCAGTCAAATGGGTTTTCGTGATCCTACCAACATGGCTGGAGCTCGGAGGAATTCTCCTCTCATCGCTGTTTAGCTCATTGATTATCTGGGAAAAAGGAATGAGTTTGTTCATTTGGGCATCATGCATCAGCACATTTGCCTAATTCAACAGTTTAATTGTGTGGTTCTCTGGAGCTTGTAGTTGTATTTATTATGGTAGCTGCATCAGGGTTTAGGGACCGTCTCTATACTCCAGTGCAGCGGTGCCCATTAAGTAGCTCTCAAAGGAAGTGCTGGTAGATCATGAGCAATTAATATGAAAAATATTTATATATAAACATAATTTTACAGTGTGTAGTAGTGACAATAGATTGTTAAAATCAAGCTCAAAGGAGCCGTACCACTACAGTGATTAGATCGATACCCCAACGTAGTGTATAATGTACAAGGGGTAACAATAAGTCCATGTTGTTGACCTTTGTTTTCCTGCAAATAAGTACAAGTATATTAAAAAAAATCATATTTATTGAAATGTTCGTGACAAAACATCACGAACATGAAGTGTTTGTGATGTTTGTTGTTTGTTGTGCATTTTGTTTCTTTCAAAATTCATCAAGTGGCCCGGATTGAACCCCTCTGGCGGACCAGTTTTGGCCCGGGGGCCATATGTTTGACAACCCGGTCTTATAGCATTTTGCTAAAATCAGAAAAGTGAGACTGTTTCATGCACAAATGTAGCGTGAAGGTAAATCCTCTCTTTCACTTCTATTTTCTGTGTCCCACGGTCCTTGAACACAGCAGAGTTCCTCTGTTCTGCTGCTTCTGCTTCTTCATTCTTTCAAAAACAGCTGAACACAAACAGTTTGAACTCCAAATCTAGTTGCTGCTGACGCCTGATCCGATGGTCCCAGAGCTAGAAGTTAAAGAGAAACCCATCCATCTTCATCCATCGTATCCGTTATGCGGACACATAAAGATGTTTTGGTGTCTAGTACTTAAGTCTCAGGAGATCGTTGGTCTGTGTACTGGCGTGTTCTTGCTTTAACGTCTGGCTTTAACCTGTTGACTTGCTTCCTCAGTTCTTTTCTTATTGATCTAAAGCTAAACATCCAATCACAGACGTCGGTTCCACCTGCTGAGTTAGCATGCGGTAAGCTGAAAGGAGCTCCAAACATTCAGAAACGTGCTGAGTTAGCATGCGGTAAGCTGAAACATTCAGAAACAGACTAACTGCTGACGTTGGGACGGTGTGTCCTGACCTGGGACTTTTGAACAAGTCCTGACACAAACCAAATATCTAGCACTCAGCTTTTCACTGGCTCTCTGGATTTGCTACTTGAAAATTTGTTGTTCTTCATGCTGTGCTGGGTTTTTTTTTATTTCAGTAAATGTCTCTGCCTTGATGGATCTGTCACGTAAATCGATTTGCTCGTTTCTCAGCGTCTGACAGCTTCTGATTGTTTTTTGACAAATAACCGGGTTCCACCTCTCGACACTGGCTTTTATTAAAATGACCTCAATTAGCTCTGGGTTTGTCAGCATCTAATCCATGTCTGAGATGTTCCACAACCCGGCTCCTGGTGGTGGAAGGCTGATCCCAGGATGTGAAAGGCAGTTGTGACTCACAGACTTTCTTGGACTGATTTCCCATGTGTTTGTGCCAGGCAGATTTTATTTCCCACTCGTGAGATTCACAGCTCAGGTGCTCAAATCATTCAGATTTAGCAGGAGCTGCTGGATGAGCTTAGCTTTCCATTCTCTGTGGTTCCTCCTCTGTACAGACCACAGACTTCTGAGAATTTGCATACAAAAGCTCAGGCAAATACCACACCAACACACAGGCACAACGTCAGAACGACCGACATTCACTCAACTGGATGAGTTTTCAATGTTACTTTCAAACTATGGTACTGAGGCAAAGGAGTCCGATTTTACTCAGGCTATAGTCTTAGAATTTGATTGAATTTAGTTGGAAGTGTGTCTATAATAATAGTAATAATAATAATCAATTATTCTTCTTCATTAAACCTGAAATATTTTGCTTCTTAGAACTGCTTTTCTATGCTTTTCGAGCCAGCCTCTGCTGGTCAGCAGCGGTACTGCACCCATAAATACATTTCTCTGTGGCTTTAAAAAAGTATCTATAGCTGACAACCATCTTCAACAGGAGTCCATGTTTGGAATTTTTAATTAAGTTCCTCCATCTTTATAGTAATTTTCTACTGAAGTTATTTTAGATTTGTCAAACGTTGGGCTTGTTGTACTGTCTGTATTACATAAGAATGTGCAGCGTGTGTTATGCCTCTTATTAGTTTACCTCTAAAGTACACAAATGAAGTCTATGTTTCATTTTTAAGAGCGCCACCGTAGCCCTTCATTCATTTTTATGACCGTCTGAGGAATGAAATCCTTCTTCCAGACTTATCTAGATGCTAATCTAAATGGTCTTTGTGACCGGGGTTGTGGGTTAAATAAATGACAGTGGTCTTTGGTGCGAGACGTTAACAGAGCAAAACAACAGGGGGTCCCCTGCTGGACATAAAGAGTCATTAACAAACTAAAATTTGAATTCAACAGTGTTGCTTTAATTGTGACAACAAGTCTGTTGGACTCAATATTGAGTCCAAAAATCACATGTCTCTGATGTCCTGCGCGGTGATAACCGCCTGTGGCTCACAGTGTGGTCAAGCATTAATCATTTATCGATTTTTAATAACCCAGGCTGCAGCTGATTAAGATTTTATCAGATCCTGTCATCACATTACCTCCCCATCATTTACTCTGATTACATTTTCCATCAACCATTGTTCCAGAAGATTTCTGAAAAGCCAAGTGTCAGACTCCTGCGGTGCATTTTAAATATCTTTGGTCATTTTAATATTCACATATGCTTAAATATCATTACTAGAGCAATGCAACATGAACTTCTCTCTGTCTGGAAGTTTACGACTGTTTATCCAAAAAATAATCTGATTGATCAAAGGGTAGCTGTGGATTATTTATTTTTATGACTTTAGGATGAATCAACATTCCCAAGTAATTAATGAAAAAAAGTATATTTATGAAATGGAAAGACAAATATTAGGGTAGCTGTGGATTATTTATTTTTATTTATTAAGGATACATCAAGATTCCCAAGTAATTATTACTTAATTACTATGTAATATTTAATAATCTACTGACAAAACAAACAGACCTCTCCTGTGGCCCTGTCTTCTTTGTTTGTCCCCCGCCTGCTTTGGATTTAATGTAAGATGTCCCTGCCTCTGGGACATCCTTAATTGTCTCTCTGTGTCTGTGAGGAACTACGTTGACCACATACTAATATCCTTAGGAGGCCTCGTACTCCTCTGCTGACGTTAGCTTTGTGTTAACTTCTAACTTTCTACACGTTATTTGGAATCCAAAAGGCAAAACACTGCTGTGTTTGAATTTTACCCACAAGGCCCTTGAGCAAACAGAGAGTCTAATGTGTTTGTTAGCTGGTTTTTTTAAGGCTTTAATACTTCACCGTCTAATCTGCCTGGAGAGTGGTTTAATTATCTCTCAGTGGAAGCTTAACGTTTTCAACAGCCTCTTCAAAGTACTCAGAACAACTGCTGTTCCCAGTGAGTGCAGAAACATTCAGTCTGTCGTTCACAAGCGATTGTAGCAAAAAACATTCAGGTGAAGGTAAACATTAGGTCCACCTTAAAGGAGACCAGACATTTGTTAAGTTTTTGTGTCTTCGCTTAAATTTGACTTCTCGGTCTTGGAGAAACGTTCTGACATAAATGATATAAAGCTCTGTCCATGTTGGATGGAGACAGTTTTGTCAATCAGGGGGCGTCCAATGATGTCTTTTGTTTGTGTTTGTGTAGGCGGAACGCAGCACCTGTGATGTCCTCAGCATCCCCGTGCCCATCCGTCGCGGGGGCTCGGAGTCCAACTTGGACGTAGTGGACAACGTCAGCAGTGATGGGATCGGGCTGGATTTCACCAAAGGAGCCCTGGGTATCGACACCTTGCAGCAGAAGATCCTAAAGGTCAGACGAGGTCTTCTTCAGGGTTAAACTCTGTATGACCTTCTGTGAGGTTCCAGTCCTCGTCTTGATTTCACCTTCTTTTTGTTCTCTTTAGGTCACAGAGCAGATCAAGGTGGAGCAGTCGGCGCGGGAGCAGTATCTGGCCGAGTACCTGAAGTTGGTGAACAATGCCGACAAGCAGCAGGCGTCACGTATCCGCCAGGTCTTCGAGAAGAAGAACCAGAAGTCGGCGCAGACCATCGCTCGCCTCCAAAGGAAACTGGAGCAGTATCACCGCCGTATGAAGGATGGCGAGACCAACGGCAAGCACGGCCACAAGGACGGCAGCGGCAGTAAAGACTCTGGCACTCAGAGCAAAGAGGGCAGCCTGCGGGACGTCAGTGCCACAGGGCGTCACCCTACCCTGGATAAGGTGAAGACGATCGGACCCGGGGTGTCGCTCTCGCCGCCGTTCTTCTTCAACAAGCCGCGGGAGTTCGCCAACCTCATCAGGAACAAGTTCGGCAGCGCTGACAACATTGCACACATGAAGAGCTCCATGGAAGCGGGCTCAGGACTTCAGGTGGAAGGCGGGGCGAGGGGTCTGAGCGGCAGCGCCACCACCGTGAGCAAGTCCAGCAAGTACCACAGCGACGACGAGTGCTCCACCGGAACGTCGGCTTCTGCGGACTCTAACGGAAACCCAGCTGGGGGCTCGGCAGCGGGGTCTGGAGGTGCTGCTCGGTCTGAGTCCAGCGGGCGTCTAACAGAGCTGATGGACATGGTGCGGGAGGTCAGGGAGGCTCAGGGACAACTGGCCGAGGACATGCAGGCCATGAACGTGCAGTTCAAACGAGACTACGGCTGCTTCACTCAGGTGCTGCAGGAGGAACGGTACAGGTGAGAGGAACCAAGAAGAGAGCAGCCGTAGTCCTTAGAGAACACTTCAGCAGAACCTTCACCTCAGTCAGAGTCAGATACAGTAATCAATAGGTCACACTCTGCAGGCGTAGGTCGGCGGACAAGAACAAAAGTGGAAATAATATACTGTATCCAAACAACATTTCACATAGAAACTGATGGACCGACACTTCCTGGGGGTCATTTAAGGCTGAAGGCTAAGAGCAAAGTCAGTGAAAGCAAATAGCCAGAGCTAAAGATTAGCAAAAGGTTACGAAATGTATGTCACGTATTATCCACATTTAGCCAAAAAATAGCAGGAAAATCTGTAAAAATGTCCAAAGACGAAGCTGGAAAATGTAGTTTTTGAATAATATCTTAAAGATGTTATTTACGTTTAAAAAAACAGACATACGTGTAGTTTTTGAATAATATCTTAAAGATATTATTTAATTAAAAAAACAGACATACCGATCTATCCATCCATCCATCCATCATCCATTCACCCATCCATCCATCCATCCATCCCCCCATCCATCCATCCCCCCATCCATCCATCCATCCATCCATCCACCCCCCCATCCATCCATCCATCCACCCATCCATCCGTCCATCCATCCATCCTTCCATCCATCCACCCATCCGTCCATCCATCCATCCATCCATCTATCCATCCGTCCGTCCATCCATCCGTCCATCCATCCATCCTTCCATCCATCCATCCATCCACCCGTCCACCCATCCATCCGTCCATCCATCCATCCTTCCATCCATCCACCCATCCGTCCATCCATCCATCCATCCCTCTCTACTGTGTGGTGACCAGAGGGTTCTTATCTGTCTCCTAAACCAGAGGTTCTGTACTGACTGGACTCCTAACTGCTTCTGTTTTATCTGCTCCTTTATTGGTTCTACTAAACAGTTCTACAGTGAGGCTCCTGTTTAGTTCTCACGTCATCTGTGGCTCTTTAAAGACCTTCTTAGACATTTATGGAGCCTATGACTCTGAAGCTTTGTTGACTATAAAGAGGTGACAGAGTGTCCACACACATCCATGGACTGTTGCTAAGTCACCGAGGGCAGATATTCTCAGCAGCTCTGGTGCAGGTGTAGTGAAACGACCACATCTGCTTTCACACGTGGACGGTTCTCTGGTAGAAATTTCTACCAGAGATGTGGTGTGTCTTACGCCCGGGGTCCCCAACCCCCGGTTCCCGGAGAGGTACCAGTCCCATTTGGTACCGGGCCGCAGCGATTTAGAGATAATCCAGCAGTATTTCAAAATAATGTCTGTCAGACAATACAATAAAGGATAAAGTCTAAAATATGTTTTATTTTGAAAATCCACCAAGTCTTATCAATATCCATTGGTAATAGAGGGTTTAAAGACACTCTTTTGGCCACTGCAGGTATGAGCGGTTGGAGGACCAGTTGAATGACCTGACGGAGCTGCACCAGCACGAGACCAGCAACCTGAAACAAGAGCTGGCCAGCATCGAGGAGAAGGTGGCGTACCAGGCGTACGAGCGGGCCAGAGACATACAGGTGACACGTCTGAGACCAAGGCTTCAGCTCGTTTCCATCTCCATCACTGCTTTCACAGTTTCCACATTTTAACCCTTGTGTCTGTGCGAACAGGAAGTCCTGGAGTCGTGTCAGACCCGTGTGTCGTTGCTGGAGCTGCAGCAGCAGCAGCAGCAGCAGACGGTGCAGCTGGAGAACACGGACGCCAAAGTGCTGCTGGGGAAGTGCATCAACATCATGCTGGCCATCGTCACCGTCATCCTGGTGTGCGTGTCCACCGCCGCGAAATTCGCGGCGCCGTTGCTACGCAGTCGCCTCCACCTGGCGCTCACTTGCGTGGGCGTGTCCGTGTTAGCGCTGCTGTGGAAGAACTGGGAGCACCTGCAGTGCGCTCTGGAGCGACTGCTCCTGCCCCACTGACACCAGGGACCGGTGGAGACCAGAGAAATCCTACGAGTCCACGGACGACAGAAACCAGTGAGCGCAGTTCAAATGTAGCCGATTCGTACAAACAACGCTGAAGATGCTAATGTGGCGCAGAGCTGCCGTAACGAGTTACTACAGAACAAACACAACGTGAAAACACAGGAAAATAAGCTGGGAACTGATCAGAGGTCAGTTTATTTATTTGGGTTGCTTGTCTGGATTAGGTGGAGTTCACGCACCACCACCAGCTCTGAAGACTGACTAGACTCAACGTTCCAGTTGACGGTCAACAGACTGGAGCACTGACAACGTTTGTGGCAAATAACTGCAGACCAGGTTCTTTAAGGTTTGGGAAGATGAACCTTAAAACTCGCAAACATGGGCAAACTATGGCCCGCGGTCTAGATCAGGCTCGTTGGACTTTTCAGTTTTCCTCCTCATACGTTAATACAAATTGTCCTAATAACAGAAGAGATGGCGAACAGCATTCATGTTCTCACAGTGTGCATTATACAGCTTTTCAATTGACCCACTAGGTGGCGCACCCCAGACACAACTGACATAAGCTGTGAATCTTCCTGTAATTATGGGTCGACCACAGAGAGCAGGTTATTTTATTAATAATCTAATGACTATAATAATTGATTGACTTCCTGTCAGGAACTGGCCTAAATTCTCATTCTCAACCAATCACAGCCTTGCTTGCTAGAATAGACATAGCCGTTGGTTAGTACTAAATTGACCCAGACAACTGGTTCCCCAAACTCTGTAAAGTGTTTAATCAACACACACGGTTGAGGGTGTTGAGGTCCGTTACATCTGTGGACCCCGATCCAAAGTTTTGTTCACGCCCACTCTCCAGATGGTCCAACCTTTTGATTCGCTCATGGTTCCTGGCATTTTTAAAACCTTCGCAAGTGTGAACTCAGCTTCACCGGAGGATTGTGGGCCACTGATGCCGAGGCCTGAATATAAACAAGTCAGAGTTTGTTGGTGTGTGTGTGTGTGTGTGTGTGTTTGTGCATATCATGTTTTACAGTTGGTATGTGTCCTTGTCCTCCAGCCTGCTGAGACACCAGAGGTTGGTTTATTCTGTGTGTGTCTGTGTTTCTGTCTCTGTGACGTCTTTGTGGCTAAACTTCAAACATTTTAAATTTGTTTCCTCAAATAGGACATTTCAAAGAAAAACGCTTTCTTTTTCCAGCTCCAAAGACTGCAGCGTTAGCCTGGATGTGCACGATTAGCTCTCAACTTTTTACTCTCAACTTTTCTGGAGCAAAATTGAAAATAATTTACCAGGAAGAAGAGACTCTGATCTAGTGCTGATGTTTTTATCTTCTTATTTAAATTGATTTTTTAAAAATATATTATGATTTAATTGAAGATGTTTAACTGAACAAATGCTCATCCTTTAAAGACCTTAGCTGCTGCTGTGCTGCGTTCAGTGTCCAGTGGGAGAAACGGTCGCTGAGCAGACATGTTTTCCTCACTAACCCCAGGAACTGAATACTTTTTTGTGTTTAAAATTTGAGAGAACTACTAAAGTTTTCCAGTTTTCTGAGAATGTTTCATGTGAGTTCATGTGTTCGATGGAAATCCATTTTTGTTTTTCCATTTTCCTTTGTGACATGAACGCAGAAGAGGACTGAGGGACGTGACTATGTAGCTCCATGACCTTGGATCACTGTGATGATGATGATGATGTTGATGATGATGAGGACATTGATGTTAATGATAATGGTGATAATTATTATGACTGCAATGATGAAGATGATGGTAATGATGATGTTAATGGTACTGGTGATCATAATTACGACTGCGATGATGATGATGTAATAATGATGGGTGTGATGATAATTATGATGCCACTGATAATGGTGGTGATGATGATGATGATGACGACGACCAGTCAGACCTGAGACTGATGCCTTTCTCTAGATGCAGCTCATTTATACTTTGATATTTTGATCATGTGTCTTTAAAAAAAAACAAAAAGCCAAATATATAGATTTAAAAAAAACAAACATTACCTTCAAAAATATCTTTTAAAATCATGTTTTTGATCCAATTTGTCCAACTGTTGCCGTTTCTGTGCAGATGCCACGTCTGTGTCTTTGTCTTTTAGTCTCCAGTAATTGATTTTTTTTTTCTTAAGATAAACAAAATAAATTGTTTTTCTAAGAAAACTCCTCTCCTCTTACTCCTCTTACATGATTATAGTTTCCTCACTTTCTCCGCCTGGTGTGTTAACCAGCTTGTGAGTCAGAAGTGGCGGAGGTGTTGTCAAGATCAAACCACTCTGTGAGTGGCGTCTGGAATTCATGCATGTGAATGAGTTTTCATTCAGTCGGGTGATTAATGTCCCGCTGCTGTGTGAGCAGCTCAGTGTGGAGTAAGAACCACTCAGCAGGGACGGAACAGGATTCAATAAATAAACAAATAGATAAATGTAGCCAGAGGGCTAGTTAGCCGAGGTAGCTGGAAGAAAACTAAGGCTTTGTTCTCATGACTTCACATCCGGTCCACAGTAAAGATGGCATCACTGTGGCTGCAACACACCACCGTTTTAATGAAAGTAACACGAGGTCATGTGACCCACTGTTAGTATATCTGTGAAACCCACCCAACTCATCTTCTACTTAGTTCATTTCAGACTGACAACTATTCACACTCTTATTCACACTCACATTCACACCTGTGATCAGTTTATAATCAACCCAATATGCAATTTGCGTGTTTTCAGGCTGTAACGGGAGGCCGGAGAACCTGGAGAAAACAGACATGACACTAGAACTCAATACAAAATGACCAGGGGTGAAATTACAAGACAAGATCACCAACTGCCCTTCCACTGTTAAACATGAAAACCCAGATTCCCGCGTATTTTTATGCTATAAATTCCTTATATTAGATTTTTTTTAAAAACCCGTTTCATACAATTATAGTAAGTAAACACGCACTGACATCTAGTGGTCAGATGTAAACATTGCATATGAACTAAAAAACAATAGGGCAAAGTGAATGCTTTACACGTAACTAGTGGGTGACATCTAGTGGTCAGATGTAAACATTGCATATGAACTAAAAAACAATAGGGCAAAGTGAATGCTTTACCCGTAACTAGTGGGTACACTACATTACACTGTATTACAAAATACATTTTTCACCAAACCTTTAATGTCGGCACACAGCAGTTGCCCATTAATGTTTGGGGTGATTTCTATGGGTCCAGGGGGGAGCAGTGCTTGAGGACGATGCATCAGTGGTAACCTGGTAGTTGGTGGATTCGAAGCCTTTTTTTAAGTTTAAGTTTAACTACAACCGTCTCTGCTCTCGTGGCAGATGACCACAATATCGTCCAGGTAACCATAATGTCTACATCTACAACTACAACCGTAGTTACCACTTAAAGCACTCATGAACGGAACGGAACGGTCACGGGCTCATGTCACGTGCTGAGTAAAATAACTGTACATCACAAACTTTGAATCGCCTTTTTTTACTTGAAATATTTGTTTTTCTTCTATACCATACTCTATACTCTTCTCTACTATAATGTATTTTAGATTTTGTACAAGTTTCAATGCACGACTTGTGCAGTACAACATCCGAACAGAATGAGGGCGAGAGTGAGCAGCCTTGTTAACCCGCAAAGCGGAAGTTTCCCTAACGGTCTTCCTTTGAACTATTCCAGTAGAGGAACGACACATGAAATTGAAAATAGTTCATAATTAAGTTATTTTCGTGTCATTGATACCTCTAATAAGTTGGACTTATTTCTGAGTTTATTGTATGTAACAGCTTTTAAAAAGGAATACCCAGAATTGGTACTTGGACATTATTTTTTTCTGTGCTAACTCATGTTAGCAAAGCATAAGCAGCGGTATTATTCTGATTCCCGGCTATAAATGGACGAACACAAGGAGAACATCAACAGCAAAGACTCGAATGTAAAGATGTCTGACACCGCTGAAGGAGAAAAGGTAGGACTTTACTGTTTAATAAGACGGTTAACATACGTACACGGTGAAATAAAATGTTAATACGTTCACGTTTGCAACTTTAAATTAGCTTTTTTGTTCACTATAAATGATTTTAATATGAATAATTAGTAGCAGAACGTTTTACACTGTAAAATGTGTCTAGCAGACGCATTTATCCAAAGCGACTTACAAGACAGATAATAATATGTTTTACTTATTCTGCCTACGGATACTTTTTTTGATAATGTATTTATAGTTACATATATATCTAATTTTCTAAATATGTAATTTTGTTCAGAATAATCTCGAATGCAACCAGGTGGTAATAATAGTCGATTTTTGTAATATTGCAGTTGACCAAGTGAATTTGAAGAGATATTTCCGAAAGTGACAGTTTTCATACACTTTGTTACTCTTGGAGTATTTGAAGGTTCCTAGGTTACAAACAATGTTGTTTATTAAACACATTGAAATACATTTGTCTTGAACGAGTTGTTATTAGACTTTTTACTACATTGTACTTTGACACGATGAAATATGAATATGATTCCTTTATCAGTCTTGCAATCTGTCAATGATCTGATGAACAGTGAAAAAAGACTGACTGTTGTTGTGGTTGTGGCCGAAACCTTTTCTAAACTCTCACTGAACTAATTCAACTTCAGGCTAAGCCGTGCGACAGGATTTCTCCTGCAGAAGAATCGGTTCCTCCTGTGTCTCCGTCTCAGTCCAACACTGACTTCAGTCACCCTGTTTACAAAGAGATCTCTTTGGCCAACGGACACATAAACCGTATGACCAAAGAGGAACTGAGGCTCAAGTTAGCGGAGCTGAAACTGGACACGAGGTGAGTTTCTCGTCAGGGTTTGATTAAATGTTAGGCCGTGTCAAATTCTTGAATCCCCCGCTCCCCGCCTGTGTGTTGCCAGAGGAGTGAAGGATGTGATGAAGAAGAGGCTGAAGAGTCACTATAAGAAGCAGAAGCTGATGCAGTCTGCAGCTGACGGCGGAGCCACTGACACTTACTACGACTACATCTGCGTGGTGGACTTCGAAGCCACGTGTGAAGAAGATAATCCTCCAGATTTCCTCCATGAAATCATAGAGTTCCCCATGGTCCTGATCAACACTCACACGTTAGAAATAGTGAGTCCACTCTCAGATGCGTTTAATGACAAATTTGGTTTTTATTTGGTTTTTAACTGTGGCTGCTTTATTCATCACTTATTTATTTTTATTTATAGGTGGACTCTTTCCAGGAACACGTCAAACCAGAGTTAAACCCAAAACTTTCAGACTTTTGTGTGAAGTTGACAGGAATAACACAGGTCAGCTGATCACAGTCTGTCATGTTAATGTGAGTTCGTGCATTATTTAATTTTTTTTTTTGAGTAGGAAAAGGTGGATGAAGCTGAACCGTTTCCGGAAGTCTTTAAACGAGCCGCTGCGTGGCTGCGGGAACGAGAGCTGGGAACAAAATACAAATACGCCATGTTGACTGACGGGTACGTGATGATTCACCCAGTGTTTGAAGCCGACGTCCGTGATGATGTGGTCGGACTGTTGACGTCCTCTGTCTTGTGCTGTTGTTGGACTCCAGGTCCTGGGATATGAGCAAGTTCCTGAACATCCAGTGTCGTCTCAGTCACATCAGATATCCTCAGTTTGCTAAGAAGTGGATTAACATCAGGAAATCCTACGGAAACTTCTACAAGGTTTTTACTTTTTATTTACCTGCTTAGACCATTACAGTGTTGCTGTGGGTTAGAGGTCTCCAGGGGAGCATTAGAGAAGTTTAAACTCCAGGGTTTGAACTCTGTCTGTTATCAGACTTCCCACAATGCCTCAGCGCTTCCTCTGCTCCTCCAGGTTCCCCGTGCACAGACCAAACTCAGCCTGATGCTGGAGAAGCTCGGCCTGGAGTACGAGGGCCGACCGCACTGCGGTCTGGACGACTCGCGAAACATCGCCAGGATCGCGTTGCGCATGCTGAAGGACGGCTGCCAGCTGCGCGTCAATGAACGGATCCACGGCGGTCAGCTGCTCTCCGTTCCCAGCACCGCGCCTGTAGAGGGCGCTCCACCGGCGTATGGCCCCGGCAGACGATAGAAAAAAGTCAAAAGGGGTAAAGAAGCACTTTATTGTGACGCTCGTCTGACGAATTAAAGCTTAGAACTTTTTTTTTTTTTTAAAGAAAATGACAGATTTTTGGTTTTTGTTATTTCATCATAGATTGTATATAAGCAAAGGACGACAACAGTT